ATTAGGGCAAAACGTCGAAATTTGTTAAAAAGTGAAAAAAAATTTGTGTTGCATTTCAAAATTCAAGATGGCGGACCAATATGTCGGCTCGAAAATTTGAAATTTTGACCTATTTGAGTGAAAGTCCGTATAGGGGCGGTTTGGGGTTCGCTGAGTATGAATATGCACTTATTTTTTCAAAATTCGTAATGGCGGATCCAATATGGCCGCCCAAAAATGCGAAAATTTGACATAGTTTTGTTATTTGGCGAAAAATCCAACCAAATTATAAGCTACCTTTTGAAGGTGTTTGTTTGGTGCAAAATATACTTTAATAGACGGTAAAAGAAAAATGGTTTTTTGACTTTAAAAATCAATTAGGCGGCCAAAAATTTTTAATTTTGATTTATTTCAATGAAAGTACGTTTTGAAGATTTTTACATATTTTGCAAAAAATAAGTACATATTCATACTCAGCGAACCCGAAACCCCGCCTATAAGGATTTTTATTCAAATAGGTCAAAATTTCAAATTTTCGGGCCGATATATTGGTCTGTCATCTTGAATTTTGAAATCCAACACAAATTTTTTTTTCACTTTTTAACAAATTTCAACGTTTTTTCCTAATTTAGATGGTTTTTGAAAGTCTATCCTTAGCGGTTTTCTCTTGAGTCTTAATGGGTTAATATGAGTCTAAGGTTAATAAGGTCTATTGCGTCTCAAATGAGATACTCAAATTTGCATCCGGAATTAAATAGGAATTTTTCAGTGAATCTGGATTGCAGATATAAATATTAGTGAATCTTGATTGCAGATATATATATCGCAATTCAACTGAAAAAATTTAAATTTTACTCTGAATAGAAATCCGAATATCTCTCATATGAGATAAATTTCAAATATAAGAGTCCGTGATCATAGATATTGTGGGCGATGGTACCTTATCGATTTACTGCTCATGTTTGCCAGAGATATCGATCTGCTTGTTCTCTTACTTTTGATGACAATATCGCTAATGTTAAGCATCGTTGCGTAGTTATTATGTGACGTGTGATACTTACGCAACGAAGCTTGATGTGGTAACAACATTGCCGTCAGAGTTACAGAATGAACACACAGGGCCGTTGGCCTACGCACGGAAACGTCCTTATTGTAGCAATTTTGTTCGTTCCCTCGCACATAGACGTCCGAAGTGTCGCCATGACAGGAAGCCGAGTCGCGCATCCGGCCAGAGGGGGCGGCGGGGAGCGAAGCGGGGAGGTATGTACGACGCTTTCATAAGTTATCGATTGAAAGGGTCGGCTAGTGGTGGTGGAAAGCAGCCTGTGGTCGCCATGGCGACCGAACCTGCGCCCTGCGAGTTGGACGTTTACCTTAATGCCCGGGAATTACGGGACGTGATTTTCGCCCCGCTTTTCTGCCGCTCCCTCCCGGCCTCACCTTGGCGCTCGCGCCCTTCGCCGAGGGTGCTTTAGGCGATAATGTAATTTTATCTTTCCTCCCCCCGCCGGCCCCCGTCCGTCTCGCGGCGCGGAATGGCGACGCGAACGTCTTCTTCGACAAACAACGTTAGTTCATTGGCCGTCCGGCGAATTAATTGGATTCCGAGCGAATTAATTGCGGCAGAAGCCACGGCGGGACGGAAATTAGATCCGGCAAAATAGAAGAAGCGCCGCCATTAAGCGGCGGACAAAGTGCGGCTGGAAAAGGCGGGCCCTTTTTTGCGTCGTTCACGACGGAGAAAAGCCGTCTCGGCCGATAGTGTGTGCGAGGGAAATTAATTGAATTTTAAATAATTAATTACCCCGACGTCGCGCGCGTCACGGTAAATGTCGTTGACGCGGACCTGTTTGAGGGTGAAACGTAATTCGATAAATGAGAGGGTATTATGGACCGCTGGTGGGGGGATTCCGAGAACGGCAAGCTAAAAATCAGGAAATATCGACTCACACAGACGAAAATAGACGTAGACAAATGACATCGTAGGCTGCGGCAAAATATAGGATAAATTCGAGCGAGACATTCGCGATGATATTGCACTCGGAGATATTGATGGTAATACCCGTCGCGGGCGTTTACCACGGCTTCGAAGTTACCTCATACATTACCGCGAGGATCCCGTCCTCGTGGACGGAATGTGGATTGCGCTTTTTCGGATCGTTACCGCAGGCTACGTTTCATCCCTAACTACGCCACGGCGGCGGAGTTCGAGCCACCCCCTTGGGGGCTGTGCCAGCGCAACCCCGCATTAGCTAACTGCGCCCTGATTCGTTGTCGGATCGATCCGAAAAACGGGGAAACTTGGCGCGAATTACAGCACCTTCGGCCGACATGCAGTTAACTACGCTGAGCCGAGTAATTGAACGTCCAAAAAAGTATCTTATCCTTCGTGTACGCGGCGTAGCGATTAAATAGAGTTCGTATGTCTCGGGATTTTAATTAAACACTACGAATATATCCCTGTGTCGCGCTCGCGCAGCTTTAGCAAATAAAGAGTAAATATTTGACTGGGTTATTCTGACATTTAATTCGTCTCTCTCTCTCTCTCTCTCTCTCTCTCTCTCTCTCTCTCTCTCTCTCTCTC